ACGATCAAAGCAATTTGTACCGGGCAAAAAAAGTTCGTTTTTCACGTAAAAATGAATACCGGCTCCACGGGAAAAAACGCCAGCAAATGTCAGTGCATCACTCAAATGCTGAAGCAGCGCGTTGACAGACGTTCAGGGACATGTCATAAACAATCAACGCATCCAATCCATCTCTATTAAAATGAACAGCGTCTTTTCAAAAATTACTGTCACACACGCACACACACACACAGACACTGTAAAAACAACATGTCAACACGAACACATGCATAGAGATACAACAACAAACATGTCAACACAGATACACATGCACACGCACACACAAGCACATACATATACAAATATTTACAAACAAGTCATCAGACACACACATACACAAATACATGAACACTCGCACAAACATACATTTTTAAGCAAATACACATACGAGTTGCGTAGGTAAAACTGAGAGCTCTCAGCTTGACATAAGCATCGGCTCTATTAAATACGAAAGCCCACTACTGCAGACAAGATTTAAGCAACAAAAAAAAACCGCCAACAGTAAATGGCGTGTACGTAGATTTAAAAGCGAACATAGTATACATGCACAAACATACCTACACACATACAAACATACACGCTCACATAAACAAATATACACAACAAATATACACACACATATACACCACATATACATACACACACACACATACACACACACACGCACACACACGTACAGGTGCACATGTATTTTAACCAATAAAGTATTAATTCAAAAAGGATGAAACGACTTCTTCACACACATTCACATGTTTATAATTTCCTTACTTGCTCTGTGTTTAACTATTTCTCTGGGTTAACCATTACACTAGCGCTGAGATTTAAAAAATGGTTTTATAAACAATATCCGCTAAAAATATACGGTTTTAACAATATCCGCTAAAAATAGTCGGTTTTATAAACAATATCCGTTACTACAATATCCGGTTTTAACAATATCCGCCACTACAATATTCGCTTGCGTTTAGCTAGCTTAGATAAAAGGCTACAAGAAAAGCATCTCCCGAATC